GGATACTTTTCTCTCCTTTGAAAACATATCATTTCTTGTCGAATTCACCAAGAAAAATCAAATTTCTCTTAAAATCAGGTACTTACTTGACTTCAGTCAACAACCTTATTGACTCGTCATGGAGCTTGAATCTCACAAATTTAACACCTACAATCTTGCAAGCTTTATTATTTCCAAGCCATACAGACCCACCATCTTGATCACATAGTTCCTCAAACAAGTCTTTGTTTGGAGTCATCTGTCAAGAGCAACCTGATTCCATAATGCACTATTTACTTGAGTCGCCGATTGAAACCACAAGAACATCAGATGAGTCAAAATCATCTTGAACAATGGATGTGTAGCCATTCTTCTTACCTCCATGATCTTTTAGGCGTCCAGGGCATACTTTTCTTGTATGATCATCCTTTTTACAATGATAACATTGAATACCAGATGCATCACCACTATAAGACTTCCGCTGACTTTTACCATTCTTCTTGTCGAACTCTCCATCTCTCTTTGATAATTTCTCCTTAACCGACAGACCTTCACCAGTCGAAGATGACTTGTGTTCCATTCGTTCCTTCATCCTCGATCTTGACATCAATATTTTCAAGATCAAGAATTAACTTGTTAAACATATTAAACTGCTCAGCCAGAACTTTGTCTTCACTCATCTTGAATGAATATAGATCTTGCTTCAAGTAGAGGCGATTGACCAACGATTTGGTCATGCACAAACTTTTGAGTTTCACCCATAACACGTACGCTGTCGTCTTCTTCGAAACCTATTGAAGAACCTTATCACCAAGGCTCAATAAGATGACGCTATGGGCTTTCTCTACCATGGCCGCTTTTTCCTTATCCGTTAACGCAACATCCATGACAATGTCTTCTTTCAACGCTTCTAAACAACCCTACTGAACCAGTATGGCTTTCATCTTCAAGCACCACAGACCGAAATCATTCACTCTAGTGAACTTTTCAATCTCATACTTTGTTGACGACATCTTCTTGACACTCACTGCACCAATTTGTCGTGAAAACGATACTAGAGTAACAAAGTATAATCAGTTTCTTGATCAGCAAGAAACCAACGAGGGTAGGAAAAAGAAGGAAACAATAAAAACACAATGAAATTGGTTATAAAATATTCTTTACTTTCTCTTTGAAACAAGATTACAAGTGTTACATAATAGCAAATAACATCTCTCACCCTAATTAAGATTTGCACCACACCCCAAAGATGAGAGACTAGCATGCTATTTATAAGAAAACTAACATACTAGCCTAATGAGCTTTTACACACAAATCCATTACACAAGGTAACTTAGGGAACAAACTAACTTAAACAATTAAGCTTACAACCAAGACCCAATTCAACATGCTAACACTCCTAGCATACTTCGAGTATAACATATGAGCAGACTTCGGCGACATGCTAAGATTCTTTCAAATTGTCGAACTAAGAAGTTACGATTCGATCATACTAGAGTTCGATCCAAAATCTCACAGTAGATGATATTATTTTAATTGAAAATCGCACTATTAAAATGAAAGTAGTAAAAAAAAACTTTTGTAGACTTTGAAATCAAGAACTTAGGATCTCTGTGATGCTTTCTTGTTATGGAGGTTTCTTGATCGAAGAAAGGAATTGCGGTTTCACAACACAAATACATTATTGATATATTGAGAGAAACATGAATGACAGGTTGTTGACCAACTAACACCCCATAGATCTGAATGATAATTTTTGGGAAGAAAGAAACGCTCTTGTTAACATCAGAATATACCAGATATTGGTTGATAAACTACTTTATTTGTCTCACATTAGACCAGTCATCACATTCTCATTCACTATAATATTCACTATAATGAGAGAATTTATAAAATACAAAGATATCTGAAGGCCAATTTTGAAAAATGTTAAATTTAAAGAAAATTAGTGAGAAATCATATATATCTTCACTGATGTGACTTCGAAGTTCCAGTCATAGACAAAAGATCAACATTTGGATATTATACTTAAGGTTGGGGTAATATTGTATATGAAGAAATAAAAAACAAAAGGCTGTAGAAAGAAGTTTTGCATAAGTTGTGTTTAAAGTTATAGTTGACGGGATTTGATGAGAAATATGGATTCAAAGAGTCTCGAAGAAAGTTCAGATGAAAAATGATCTTTAATATAAGTATATTTTAGTAAGGGGTGTTCAAATCCAAATCGATCCAAATAAAAACTGCAAATCGATTCAAAAAAGTCGAAAATCGCAAAAAATCAAAATTTTTTAGATGTATTTAAATGTCATTTTATAAAAACCGCTTGATTCGGATCGAATTTCGGATTTATTTTTAAAAACCAATTCAAACCAAACCGCATGTAGATATTTTTTATTAGTACATATGTTGTTTTAATTTAATATTAGATGATACTTATCTTTTCAAAAACTATTTATTAGTTTGATTTAACCTATTTATTTTCATTTTTTTCATCCCATAATATTAAGTTTTAATATGGTATATTATATATTATATCAAACTTATTTTTTACAGGTATTTTTAGAATATTAATAAAAACTATAATTTATAATTTTGATATAAAAAATCAATCAAAATTAAACCAAATTTGAATATCAAAAAACCAATCAAAATTAAACAAATGTCTCTATTAAAATCTTAACAAATACACATCTTTGAACATTTGATAAAAGACGTATCGAAGAATTTCATGATTCTCATTTTTTATTGTAACTTTTTTCAATTTTATTTCTACTTCTTTAAATTTCTTTAAATTAAACATAACAAGATTGACTATATTTCTTTCTTTTCTACCTAACTATGAATATATTAAATGATTTACAATAAAAGAGCGAGCAATACATTTACAATTTCCATCTTATATACCGGAATATTTTGCTAGCCATTCTTAAAATTCTAAAAATATTTCATCGCAAAAACAAAAAATAGAAAAGAAAAAGGAAGAAAAGGGGGTCCTTTTGGTGGTTAAGGAGAGAGACAGAAGAACAATTCTTCCCGTCCTTCGAGACGGTCTTCATCCTCCTTTCCCTTACGCTTCATCCTCAGGTATTCTCTCTCTCAGATCTATTCTCCTTTCAATTCCCTTATTTTCCACTAGGTTAATTTGTAACAGATTCAAATTCGTCATCAAATTTACATTATCGAATTCGATTTTTTGTTGTTTGGATCGAGGAACGGTTATCGTTTTGCGATGTGTGGATTTGTAGGTTCAGTTTGAGTTTCGCGCCATTTTTTTTAAGGGTTGATAATTTTTGTGGCTTTCATTGGTTTCTGAATTTGTTGCGTTATGGTTTGTTTTCTCTAGTTTATTATTGGGGAACGGCTTGATTACAATGCTATTGAGTCCCAGACATAGGATTTTGCGGAGGGTAGCATGTTTTAAGGGTTAGTGATGTTATATACCTCATTCCTCTGAAAGTGTATTTTTTTTTGGATGAATTTGTACTCACATTAATATGAATATGATCAATGCAGTAACATATTTAGGGCTAATTGGGGATTGCAGAGAATAGCGGTTTGTTCATATCCTGCTATTAGGTGATATATGGATTTATCATTGTGGATTAATTGGAAATTTGGAATGATTCTAGATTGTTTTACACGTGTGTTGTTAATATGTATTATAGCAAAGCAAATTAAATTAGTATGATTTGTTAATTCTTGCCTTCTTAATTTTATTCATTCCATCATTTTGGATCTTCTGAAGTTTTAATGCTAGGGATTTTTGTGTTTGTTGATGTAGTTTGATCATTCTCTGTCAACTTAATTCTCTATCACTGCAAAAACAAAATTTCTATAGCAATAACAACAAATTATAATGTTGGGTGTCTAAGTTTCACACACTTTGAATTTTGATGTGCAAGAGCATTGAAATCTACTTGATTTTCCGTATTTCCAGTTTTCGCTGAGATCCTGTTTTGGCCTATAGTATTATTAATATAATTAATATAAGGTTTGCTTGCAGGTTGATCTGCATTTGAATCTTAAGGTTTCTGATTCATTTTTCGAAACATGGATGGAGTGCTTTTCTGGTCAAGTTGCCACAAGTATTGTTTGTTTTCATTTCAAGAAATGCTCAACTGGCGATTCCTCATACTTGGAGAATTTCTTCCTGTTTCCTTTGTTAATTGTACTTAATTGCCCATTCTCCTTTAATGACCAGCAGTGTGATGCTTGTTTTGTCTGAGAGAAGTGCTGCATCTTTAGGGAAATTGTACAAGTAAGAATTTATTCCTCTTCTTTTGATCAAACCCTTAAAAAGATTTGTTTCTTGACAAGCGTTACTTTGACAGTGCATTGCTGACCCAATATACAGTTTAAACATCTGAACAATCCACTTCTTTGGTGAGATATCTATCATGGAACACTTATATCATCTGCTTTAATTTACTGAAATATAACATAACCTTTTCCTTTGTCTACAGGTATGAAGTAGATAAACTGGTGTTTGATATGGATCCTGTATCTTTAATATTGGATAAGCAATTGCATTAAAACTGTGCAGACTATAGTTTTTAATAATTGTCTTGTTGTCCCAATGGGTATTGTTGATGACAAAACATCTTTTGCTTGAAATTTCTTTAACAACGCCTATCTAGACTTTAGATGAAGTGGCTATTATTGAAGTTCTTAAGTGTTGGGTCACAGTGATTTTAGCTAGAGTTTAATCTGGTAGATTTAATCAATCATTTCGGTTACACCTAGGTAGAGCATTATGATTGCCGGTAATTGTTCATTTCTACCTCTCACGTCCTGCTACAGAGCCATGGGTCTATTAAAATATTAACCAATAAGACTACGCAGTCCTTCACTCAGAAAGTTTCTGCTTTTGCCAATTTTTTGCCACGACAAAGAATTGACAGTTGAATATACTGGACCAGCAAATATCTGTAAAATTTTATACTCCTTTCTCAGCATCATCTACTAGAGTTAAACACCACCTATCTTTTGAATAAAGAGCTACTTTGGGTTCTGTGTGAACAATGGAGAGGTGATTATCTTTTGCAGAAGTTGTTATGTTTCCCTTTTTTATTGTTGAATATCTTTGTTTAAGGTTTGTTTCTTTCTTCCCCAAACAAAGGTACAAATTAATTAAGGAAGTTGGGGATGGAACATTTGGGAGTGTCTGGAGAGCTATTAATAAGCAAAGCGGTGAAGTTGTAAGTATTCTTTAAATGGAATTATATTTGGTGTTCTAGGTGAAGTTGGATGGTGTGTTTCATTCTAATTTGTCATAAAATTACAGGTTGCAATCAAGAAAATGAAGAAAAAGTATTACTCTTGGGAGGAGTGTGTAAACCTAAGTGAAGTCAAGGTGGCATATCTCACTGTTCAATCCTAAGTCCTATTTTCCTTGTGTTTATGCCAATGCATATATTTATTCTCTAATTCCCTTTATGGCAGTCATTACGAAAAATGAATCACTCAAATGTCGTGAAGCTGAAGGAAGTTATTCGAGAATGTGACATTCTGTACCTTGTTTTTGAGTACATGGTGAGTGGCTGGATTTTTATGGTATAATGGTGGCTGATTTGAAGTCTAATACTAACTTTTTAGGGTCAATTTTGAATGATGCAGGAATGCAACCTCTACCAACTTATGAAAAAAAGGGAAAAGCTGTTTTCTGAGGATGAAGTTAGAAACTGGTGTTTTCAAGTTTTCCAAGGTCTTGCTTACATGCACCAGCGTGGATACTTTCACCGTGATTTAAAGCCTGGTACTTTTTCATGATTTTTTTACAGTCTTGGTTGGGTATGTATGATAAAACGGCTACAAAAGTGTATCTACTTAACATAGCATGTAAGGTATATAATATTAGCAGTTAGTTCTATCATTAACTGTCTTTTTTTATAAAAAAATTTAATTTAGTTTTGGCTTGCTGAATTCAATTTGCATATCGTGAGAAAAATACAGACTTGGTGTTTGGTGTAACTTTTGTGCATATCTCTAGTACTGTGCTGCAGAGTTTTGCTGTTTGATACAAGGTATGGTACTTTTTGCAGAAAACTTGCTTGTCACCAAGAATATTATCAAAGTTTCTGATTTTGGCCTAGTGCGAGAGATCAGCTCACAACCACCCTATACTGAGTATGTCTCCACACGGTGGTATGTGTCTTTAACTTGAATACATTATTATCTTATAGATATATAATGTACTGTCTGTCGCGTATTTAATGACACAGTTAATGTCCTATGGTCAGGTATCGTGCCCCTGAAGTCCTGCTTCAGTCTTTCCTTTATAGCTCCAAAGTTGGTAAGCATTATGATCTTGATTATGGCATTATTTGTAGTAAAGATGATGAATACCATACAAACATTTATTTTGTTTTATCTTCCAGACATGTGGGCAATGGGTGCTATTATGGCTGAGTTGTTCACTCTCCGTCCTCTATTTCCGGGTACCAGGTATCATGTTCTATCTATTTCTCTTCGTTTCTTCAGCACCACGATGGTGTTTTTACTTGGATAAAGGAAATAAATATTTATTAGGGAATTCACAAATTTATGGCACCTCAATCTACTCTGAAAACAGTTACCATGTTCATACATTTGACTGCAATTAATTGTCACAAATATTTGGTTTACTGCATAGTATCTGTACAAGTAAAACCCTGGTCTAAAACATCTTATATAGTAGCTGGGTTGGAAATAAACCTATTCTATTATGGCTCTGTTCATGCAGTGAGGCAGATGAGATCTACAAAATATGCAGTGTGATAGGTAGTCCAACAGCTGAATCTTGGGCGGATGGACTCAAACTAGCTAAGGATATCAACTATCAGTTTCCACAGGTTAGTTTTCTGAATTCAAACACATCTCAAATAGAATATAGAAAGCTTCTTTTGCTCTAGTGGTGGGTTTCTGTTTTCATTAAGTAGCCAGTCGCTCATTCACCTTGTATACCGAGTCAAATGACTTCTTTTCTGTCGTGACGAGGGATGAGGTGATGGGAATATGGCTACTGTTTCCAGTTTTTATCTTTAGAGGCACCAACTTATAACTGTGCTAGGTGTGACTTGTGTGGCAATTTAAGCATTCTACTTATCTACTATTATTAAGCTTGATAAATAAATTACCAGTGTCACACGTCACACATGTCTTGTATTTATTTACTCATAAACTAGCTAAATATCTTGTTATGTATAAATAATATTAAGATGGTATTGTGTAATATCATTTAGGCTTAATTAAAGTTTTGGTCTTCCTATTTTCATCCGCTCACGGAATTAGTCCTTCATTTTAAATCACTAAGTTTTGGTCCCCATCCAGTTTCATGCACTAAAAAAGTGTTATGACATGTCATACGACCAAACAAAGTACAACTATCGCGATGAATGAAGTATTTACGTCATTAATTAAGTTACTAAAATGAATTAATTCAGAAGTTGAAATTGACGTTTTTAAGAGATTTTCTTGCAATGTAATAGGGGTTGATCATTCCACATCATCATATTGTATGTCACGTTATTTACAAAATGCCACTTCACAACTTTTGAGTCAATATATACGAGGGAGGGACCAAAACTGGGTGATTTTAAAATGGGGGGACGGGTGCTGTAAGCGTGTGAAAATAGAAGGACTAAAACTGTGTGAAAATAGAAGGACTAAAACTGCAATGAAGTATTATTATCAACTAGCGCGTCACACCTAGCACATTATTATATTACTAATGTGCTATGTATAAATAATATTTCTAAATGTATATTAAGACAGACATTAATGTAAGAAATAAATATTACTAAGATGTGTACAGTCTTCAGCTAATTACTGTATGCCATGTATTTATTTCTACAGCTAGCTACCACAGATCTCTCTCTACTGATTCCATCCAGAAGCGATGATGCAATCAACCTTATCAAAGTAAGTAGTTCTGATTCATTGCATAGCAGTTCAGTCCTGGCCTCCATTTCTCATCTAATAGATCTGTGTTTTTTCCCCTTTCTGTTCTTTCCTTTCTATATCTGTAGTCACTTTGTTCATGGGATCCCTGCAAGAGACCTGCTGCAGCAGAGGCCCTTCAACATCCTTTCTTCAAGGTTTTCCTATAACTATTTCATACTTTCAATTTGTTTTTAGTTTTTTTTTAATCTATTCTATGCAAAACAATATGCTGCTTTCTGTAAGCTAGGTTTTGACTGTTTATTCAAAATAATTTGTAGAGCTGCTTTTACATCCCTCCATCGCTTCGCACAAGAGCAGTAACCAGAACTCCTCCATCTGGTATGTAATTTTTATTTATGTTGCATTGCAGGCTAATGACTTGTTATGGTTCAATTGGAGGGGATACTAATATTGAACTTCTAACTGTTTCTCCTTTTCATTTTTGCAGCCGGAATAAGGGGATCAGTGGATCGTCAAGGGGTCAAGAAATATTCTGGTGCATTGCCTAATTCGAAACTTGGGAATAATTTTTCTTCCATGAAATTACATCCTTCTGTAGCTCCAGGTGATCTTTACTGGTTTCCACCATTTCTCCGTTAAATGCATGCTTGTTTTTTTACTAATTAACATATTTTCACTGTCAGAAATAACTGTTGGCATTTAAGCTGAAGAATATGAATCGGTAGATTATTTAAATTGCTAATTTATTACTCGCGGGAACAAAATAATGACTTCAGCTGATGTTTTTCCTGTTGCTTTGGGCTATATAATTTTTTGTTTTGTTTGTGTCATACTCTATTTCACACTTTCACATGACTGTATATAACATGGTTCTCATTCATTTCTATTACAGGCGTGCAACGGAAGCTGGATATGGCAAACGAGGTGACGAGTTGTTCTCTATTCTCTCTCTACTCTTGTTCTCATCTTATCTTGCTTTTGAATTAATGCCTTATCCCCAATCTGTTAACACAGTACTGATTTGGCACATGACATTAAGATACAATTCAAGATAATTTCTGGCTTTACTTTGCTAGATAATTTGTTCTCTATAAACTGGTTTCGTATAACTCCATCATGCTAACAATTTTTTTGACCGTCTTAAAGGATGGAATTAAAAATAAGAAATCAATGAAGACTACTACTCCACAATCAAAATATCAACCACCAGGAAAAGGCAGCCCAAGTAAGCACTTTTGTCAATGTCCGTGTTTAACTATTATAGTATAGTTGCTTTTATATTTGTGACTGAAAATTGTATGAGAATTAAATAGAAGGAACCTAAATGTATTTTTGGTGAATTCAATGAAAAGAGCTTAAATGCTTGTAATGATCCTGTAATATCGGTCAATTTAAGCCATTTATCAAGTATCATCATTTTAAGTGGTTGATTTTCATTCATGATAATTGTTTTTAACCAAAGTGCCTGAAGCAGCGATGCAACTTTTCACTTCAAAAGGTGTGTTAGGTTGTTACTTTTAGTACTCCAGAATCTCAATGGTTAAGTTTTTTTGTTGGCAGGTTCTTTAAACAAGGGGAGAACCGTGCGATGTGTTTCAGAAACCGCTGACAAGTTGGCCAACATGTCAATTTCTACTCGAAGACATTCCTTGAGTCAAACCCGTCCACCTCCAATGAAAGCCGGAGTTAATTGGAGTTCTGAATCTGGAAACATCCTGCTCAGGTCCTCCCAACCGATTCCAACTGGAAGAACTTTAACAAAAAAGGTTGCTGGATGAGATGGCAAGTATTTGCTGAATTTGGAAATTTTTGGATGATAAATACGATGAATGTTGAGTACTAATCTTTTGAGAGTATGTGCGTTGGCACCTTTCCTGATGAGTTTGTTAAAGTTTAATATTCTAGTCCTGCTTTTGTCGCCGTTATGCATCCTTGAAATTGTCACACAAACAAATATATATGTTATTGTTGTGCGACATTAATACACTAACTCCTACACAGTTATGCTGATGTTGTTTTTTAATATTTGATGCAATGCAATTCAATACTGTGTAATATTATATGCACTAATATGCATTTCTATTTTTTTTATTTAAAATTTGATATTTAAGTCTGAATTTTAAAAATGTTTTTAACATACATTTCAACCAGCAGATCATTGATTTGATCAAGTGACCCATCCATTCACCAAAATTTGTCCTCAAAGAGGAAGAGGTTTAGAAACAAAAGTTTTAATTTATCATATTTTCACAAATTTTATGATTGCTTACCCGTTGTTACCACCTAAAGTATTTGGCGGTCATGTAGATAAAGCGGATATTATGTCATTTAATGAATTATGACGATTTATTAATGTATGTGACATTATGAATTCATTTATAATGTTTTTATTTGTTTTGTTTATTTATTTATGTATTTATGTAATTACTGATAATTTGAATAAATTATGTTATTGATAATGATGTTATTTTTGGATTTATTAAACACTTCTAAATTTAGGATTATGTTGAGGAGGAATGTCAATACGATAATCATACATTGAAATAAATATGTTTTTAAATGATATAAACTATTATGATTTTTTATTTATTTATAATCTTAACTAGTAATATATCATCATAAGTGTCGACAAGGATAGATTTAGTATGAAATTATTCTATTTCATAAATATTGATATCGATATTGTCGTTTTTTAATAAAATGTCAAAATTAAATTTAAGTAACATGTCAAAAATTTAAGTAACATGTCAAAATTATATTAAAGTATGTAACAATCTCATTTTATAAACGTCGATATTTGTTTTAATCAAAAGAAAAACCAAATATATAGAACACTGGGCGACGCCTAACTCACCACCAAGCTAGTCCAAATTCCAATGAGGTTGGGCACAAGAATACCACGCTAACGGGCAGGATCTCTGTCGAGCACAACGTCCCCCTGCCGGGCATAGGCCGGCAGCTGTCGGGCAGGACTCTCACATCCGACCAGCCAACCTCCTTCTTTCCCATCGTCGAGCAGGACCCTCGCATCCGACCAGCCACCTCTGCCTGCCCGGGAAACTCCTCGGCCCTTCCCCCACGTTCTCCACGTGTCCCTCACGCAGGAACACGTCATAAAGTAACTACCCCACGTCCTGGAGATTCGGTCTTCCTCCTCCCGGATAGTGCAGAACAGTTACCCTAAGGCGAAGACCACGTCCTGGTCTTTACGACGCCACGTCAGCCCTAGCAGTTACCAACATTGGGCCTAACAGCCCAGCCCAGTGCTACGTAATCGTTGGCCATGCGCTGAGGGCTCACTATAAATACCCTCTTCACTAGAGGGTCAAGTAACTTAACTTTCTTACTCTCTCTCTGTACTTGTTTTCACTCTACTCGTCATTTACTTTGGCATCGAAGTGTGTTTCAGGTACACCCTCTCCTCTTCCATACCTACGGTGAATAGCTAGCAGATCAGCGACGTGTGGCAGGTCATTGACTCCCTTCTGGTCAGGTACGACCAGTGGCGCCGTCTGTGGGAATCTAAGCTTCCCTGTTCCTCCGAGCAGGGAACCAAAGCTTCCTCCTTTCAAATTTCGAGAGCATGACTAGCCCACGCCACGACGACGCTGTTCTCGGCTCCGCCTTCACCCCGGCCACCAACGACGACAACTCTCCAAGGACATCTCAACCCCATGAGACTGACCACAGGGACGGCCAGACTGCCTCCCCCTCATCCGAGGACGCGACACATCACGTCGTCCCTCGGGCGAGAAGCCCGACAGTTTTCCAGCCCATCCCCACGCCGGCCGGGGCAGACCCGACGATGGTTGCCCTCTTCGCAGCCATCAATCAGACGAACCAGATGCTGTTCCAGCAAAATGAGCGCATCGGCGTGCTGGAACACGACCCCTCATCCCGCTCCCCGCGCGCGAGAACTCTTGAAGCCCCTCTCCCCAACCACAGGGGCGTCGACCATAGCTGGAGAGGCCCCAACTAGTGGTCTCAAAGAAGCGAGTAAGGTCACCGCCCTGAAAGGAGAGGCGCTCCCCGGATCCGAGGGCGAACAGGCCCGAGGCCTCGGCCAGAAGACCGAGGGTGCGTAATCAACCTCCTCGACACGGGCCATCACCGCCTCGGTCCCCCATCTGCAGCGACGAGGGCGATTATAGAACCCCCTATCACGAGAAATCATGGCGATCCCCATTCCCCACGGGATAGAGAAGCCACCGGTCCTCTCGACGTATGACGACACCTCGGATCCAGACGACCACCTGGAAGACATCGAAGCTATGCTCGACTGCAGGAACGTCCGGGGAGCCATCAAGTGCAGATTCTTCCCGACAACACTGAGAAAAGGCGCTATGGCATGGTACAAAAGCTTGGAGTTCGAGTTGATCACGTCGTGAAGGGTCTTGAAGGACCTATTTTTATGACATTTCACGGCCTCGAGACGACATTCGAAGACGGAGGCCGCCTTGGGCGCGATCATCCAGGTCCTCGATGAGCCTCTCAGGAACTACATCGAGAGGTTCATAAGGGAGGCGGTCCAGGTAACGACTTCGGACGAGATGAAACGTTACCTGATGGAGTAGGGCCTGCGCCGAGACTCCAAGTTCTACGAGGCTGTGGCCATCCATCGGCCAAAATCCCTCCAGGACTTCCTTGAGAGAGCCCGTCATTACATCCGATTCAAGGAGACGGAGGCCGCCAACACTGCCTGTGATACACGGAACAGAGAAACCCCCTGCGGGTCCCGAGATGAAGGGGCCTCGGCCCACCGACGCAGAGGAGATCAGCGACGGCAGGACCGACCCCGAGAACCCCGTGAGCAGCGGGGCCCTGCTGGCCGTTTCACAGAGTACACGGCACTAGTCGCTTCCCGCGAGCGCATACTGGCTGAGTGCGCCAATTCAGAATTTGTCCGGGAGGTCTCTGCTTCCCAAAACCGAAACCCAACAAAGCCAACATGGACAAATCAAAATTTTGCCACTTCCACCGGAGCCACAGGCACGTCACAGAGGATTGCATCCATTTAAAGGATACAATCGAGATTCTGATCAAGGACGGGCACCTGAAGAGGTACACCCGGGGAGGAGACCCCCCATGGCAGGAGGCTCCCGAGGCTAAGAAAGTCGAGGACTTTCCTCCTCCCAACAACGATTTCAGCCTACAGGTAGCCCTCAGCGTGGGTCGACCTGAGGATTGGTTTGCCAAGAGGGAATTCGGCCTCCCTGCCGAGCTTCAACTTCCCGAGGAGCCCGTGCACCCCACCAGCCGGTGGGAATACTTCCCCAGGGAAATGGTTATTTCCGGCAGGACCTCGAGCAAGCTCTCGATTGGATCGGTTAAGAGGAAGTTCGACGAACTAATGAGCAACAACTCTAACAAGATGAGCACGTTCGACATGTTCCGAGGTCGATCCAATCCGATCACCTTCTATCTCGAAGAGCTCCCCGGGGAAGCCCCAACTCGGCCATCCTCCTTTTGATACGGGCACAAATGGCCAACTTCGACGTCCGACGCATTCTGGTCGACGGAGGGAGCTCGGTGGACATCATGTACACCCACCTCTTCTCGACGCTCCAACTCGACGAGACCAACCTGGCCTCCTACCTGGGCTCCGACCTCCAGGGCTTTAACGAGACAACGAGGAGGCCATGGGGATACGTGGAGCTCAAGGTCACATTCGGGGAAAAGGAAACATCCAGGGAAATCAACGTCCGTTTTCTGGTCGTCGAGTGCCCATCTTTGTATAACTGCATCCTGGGCAGGACGATGATGGCCGAACTTACCGCAGTGCCATCGACCGTTCACTTGAAGATGAAGTACTACACCAGGCTGGGAGCTGTCGTCACCCTCAATGGGGATATCGAAGCTGCTCGTCGGTGCTTCGACGCAGCGATGAAGGGCCTTAGTACAACCGGTCCCGTGACCAAAGCAACTAAGCCCCCCGTTCAGGAGGTTAAACCGAAGGATCACGTCGACACCGTAGACCTCGACTGCCGTTTCACCAAAGAGCCCTACCACGAGGACAAAGCCAGCAAAACCCCTCCAACCACCAACGGGAAACCTATCTACCCAATGCGCCCCATCCCAGACGGGGACTTCGAGATCGTGACCCTTAGGGCAGACGCAGCGAAGACAGTGAAGATTGGGGCGGGGCTGCCCGACCTGGAGAGGAAGCAGCTGAAGGCCTGCCTCCGTGAGAATGCCAACCTCTTTGCCTGAAGCGCTGCAGAGATTCCCAGACTTGACCCTGAGGTCGCTTGCCACCAGCTCTTCGTCAACCCGGCCGCTAGGGCCGTAGTGCAACGTAGGCGTAGGCAGTCTCCCGAAAAGTCGGCGACGGCTGAAAAAGCTATTAAAGACCTCCTAGAGGAAAATTTCATTTCGAAAGCCCGATATTCAACCTGGCTGTCCAACGTTGTACTAGTTAAGAAAAATAATGGAAAATAGAGGATGTGCGTTGACTACACAGATCTCAATCAGGCATGTCCTAAGGACGCCTATCCCCTTCCCAACATCGACAAGCTCGTTGACAACTCGGCGGGCTTCAAACTACTGTCCTTCATGGACGTGTACTCGGGGTACGACCAAATACCCATGGCCGAGGCCGACAAACAGAGCACAACGTTTATGACCGAGTCGGGCAACTACTACTACAACGTAATCCCCTTCGGCCTAAAAACCACTGACGCCACCTACCAACACATGATGAACAAAGTCTTCTGAGGAGAGATCGGCGACATGCTCGAGGTTTACATGGACGACATGATCGTCAAGTCCTGCATGGAGG